TCATTTTTTTGGTTTATATGTGTTAGAGGAGCATGCAGTGTCACATCGAAGAGAGCAATTGGCGACGTGCGCGACCGAAAGCGTCGCTCTGGTTGGCCTTCCACGATTGGCCGAACGCTGACTATGACGTAGGAAAGGGGATTTATCATCGACGGAAATCAGAGGAATGAAAGAACTTTAATTTTGACGGTGTTGGCAGTGTTGCTTTAAGAGCCCAATGATTTCAAGCTTCCACCATGTTATTTACAAACACCATCGAACTTGTTTGCAAGGTAATGACGTCATATGGGGCAATTATAGGAGGGCGCCACCAAAACATCTCGCCGCTAATATCTTCGTAAAAAAGTCACGAAAAGGAATTTTAAAATGAATTAAACAATTAGCAAGGGGCACCTGGTGGATTTCGCCAACGCCTCGTTTGTAGTGCCTGTCTAGGAACCTTGACAGCTATAGTCGGTTACAAGTCAAGAAGGTAGGAGAGGCTCCTCCCACAAGTGTGATGCGCCCGTTTCAAATCTCTCCGCCGTCGAAAGAAGAGTTCACTGGAAACGCTCCTTGTTCCGCTTCAATGGATTCCCTCTTGTCTCCGATCCCACTTTTTAAGAAAGCGACCTTTGTATTCATCGGAGAGGGAACCGAGACCCTAAAAGCAGCCTTTGTATCCATCGGGGGGGAAACTAATCCCCGAAAGTCGTATTTGTTTCCGTCGGTGGGGGAGAACTCTAATCTCCCTCTCGAGGCTTCCACAATGCTAAGTCAAAGTCGAAAGATAAAGCAAATATGTACAGAAAGGCAAGCCCTTCCTCGCTCGTTGGCCGCGACGTCACGGAAACGGTGGGACGCTATTGGATGCGGAGGTGGCGGAGGGATATCTGCTTCCCTTTGAGGGGCATTTGCCGCTACCTTCTTAACCTGTAACTGACTATAGTGACGGTAAGTGTCTCGCTTCCAGCCACGACGAGAGAAGAGGGGAAGGAGGAACTCCGCTCTTTCCGAGAATCTCTTTTGTGTGTCCCAGAAATCGCTATTGCCCCCTGCAAGATTATAAAAAATTAACCCGTCACTCAATTTTCGTACAAAAGCAGCCGCTTCGGTGGCTGGAACGAGGCCATCCTCTCGACGTCAGCCCCGCCTTAGCTTTGCTCGTCCCGACACGAACTACGTCACGATTTCGTTGTATGTCACATGCTCTCCTCTGGCTGTTCTCCGAGCGCTTGCCAAAGTGGGCCGTTTATAACAAGAAATACAGCCACAAGGCTCAAAATACAAACGTGCGATAGTCATTTACGGATATAGTGGCTCATATTCAACGTATGCTTAAATAGGACGGTTATATTTCAAATTTCGTACACTGTAAAAGACAAGTGAGCGGAGGAGCGCCAGAACGCCGAGATGTGGTTGGTAACGCAAACGCCAAACGCCGAACGCCTGCGTTCCGTGTTCCAACGCGTTCGACGAGTCCAGTGGAGACAAAGAATGCTAGCTTTAGTTTTTGGTCTTATCTGTGGTCACCTCGGTCTCTTAATTATTGCCCCCCGATCAATATGCTCTTTGCTCGTCACCCAGGGAGTGACACAACACAACGAGAAGACAGCGAATGGGTTTACTGTACTTCCCGGTCGCCCGTCCTCAAGAGCTGGCCATCCAGGCCCACCGACCCTGGTTGTCGCCCGTTGTTCAGAGCTCGCAGTCGGAGTTCATGTCCAGGCCTGCGGATCGTCCTTCAACACGCCAGCGCTGCGTAGGCTAGCTGCCCCGACCTATTATATCCCACGATTCTCGCATGCAGAAACACTCCGGGATCGTCATGGCCCAGGCCGGTAGGGCCAGGGCTCGCCGTTCCCACCGGTCCTGTTCGAAGCCTTGCTGGTGGACCGCTCCGTTGTTCGCCATGGGCCAGACTAGCCAGACCGGCTCCGTCGTTCCGGCCCGGCCCCCGCCTCGCGCAACACGCTCTGTCTTCTGCGCCAGCTCGTGTCTCTTCGACCAATCGCCTGTCACGTGCCCTCCGCCCCGTCGTCTTCCACCCTCGTCTACCACAAGTTCTACCCACTCACCACTCTAACCAGAGCCCGGCGTTCTGAAGTCACCGCGCGCTCTCGTTTCCTCCTCTTCCTAAATTTCTCGCCGTAGAGTAGGATGTGGTCCTTTTCTAGAAGGACTACATCCTACTCAGCTCATTTGCATTAAACGGCGCGCCTATAGACCTTTTTCGCTTACTCTCGTCTCCAGTCACCTGATAGGCATATATGGTTTGGGCGACGAAAAAATAAAACATTTCAACCTGCGAATAGTAAAAGATAAGGCGGAAACAAAACGAGAATATCTGACGGTTACGTTTATGTTCTAAATGCATTCCATTGGCGTAGTGACGACAAAACAATGCTTTCGCCCATACTGGAAGTGACGACATCTCAAGATGGCGGCGCCCTTGTTTTGCGGGCTTCTAACTCCGATTCCCTCAGAACCTGTTCCCGGATGAATATGACACAGCAATACTTCTCTGTCGGCAAAAGGGTTTATTCACTCACTTATTGCCTGGGAGGTTTCGGGATCGGGCAACGGTTATCAGCGAGGCGGGGGGAGGTGCGCTGCTACTGCAACTGCTCCAAGTCCCAGCGGTAGTCGTCCACACCGCGTCATGGGGACGTCGTCATCCAGGGTCGCCGTCCGGTCCGTTAATCGAGTCCACAGCTCGATGTCTTGCGCGCATTTTCCCCGCGCCATCGTCCGTCTCCCGCCGAATCCCGCGCCAGCGTCCTCATCTCCTGTCGCCGTTGCACGCTTCTTTCTATCCGCCACCCGAGAGCCGCCGTCCTTGCCACGGTTGGTAAAATGTCCTACTACAAATATCACTTCACAAAATAAACAAAACGCATGAAACAGGCTTTGCCGCGCGTTACCCAAATATTGCACGAAGCGAGCTGACGAGCCGAGGGATCGAGGATCTGAGCGAGAAGCGCCCCCTGTAGTTCGCGAACGCCCTCAATAAAATATTTGTAACTCTATTCTCTCCCCCCCCTTTTTTTTTTCTTTCCCTTTTTTTTCACTACAACGCTTACAACAGCAACAGTCACTGTCAAGGTCTTTTTTTAGCTCCCGGCCTCAGCAAGTGCTCCTTGCCTTTCGGCGTGCTCTGGCTGCGCCTGGACGCTTGGAGAGTTTCACGAAAAGCCAAAGCTTTATCAAAAGTGGAAGGAAATGAAATCTGTGCGGAGAGAAATCGATGGCGAGGAGGAGATTAGAACGCGCGAAGACGCAGAGTCAAGCACTGACGAACATATTTCATGGGACTACGATGCCTGCATGGAAAGAGTTTCCGACTGGTGTGTTTAGCGTCCCATTCGCGCTAAGAACCTCGCTAGGGGCGGTTCTGTTGTTCTCACTAGTGCACGTGCTAGTCACGTGGTTATGTTTTCATTTTCGTAGTGCATAGAAGCTTGGCATTGCACGCGTTTGCACCAGCAGGGCAAGTATGCTCACTCTGGGTTGTGAAAAAATTCCTCCAAGCGGCGATGCAAATTGCTTCTCGCCGCGAAATCTGCCCATGTATCGAAAGTGGTAACAAGTGACGTCACAAAAGCCGGAGTGTCATGCTGTCGGATTTCACAATCCTGGCGGTCGGTCTTAGAAATGCTGGCGAAAAGCAGGGACGAACATGAGTGTCGCTGTCGTTGCAGTGTCACAACTCCTGGCTGCCGAAACTTCCGTGGACTGACAAGTGGAAGAGCGACCTGCAGCAGAACAAGCCACCACCACTGCCCTGACACCGCCAGAAACGCGGCCGAAGACAGCATGACACTTACGTCATTTCATCAGGCGGAAATCTATATAGGGACGACTTTTTGGGGGGCGGTAAACACACCTGTCGGAAACATGTTACAGGCGCCATCAAAAGTCAAATTTGGGGGTTTTACGTGCCAAACCAACGGCGGGCATCTGGCACGCCCAGCGGAGGACTGAGGATTAATTTCGACCACCTGGGGATCTTTTGACGTGCAACCGAAAGCTCGGTTACACGGCGTCTTCTCCGCAATAAGCCTCCGTCATATTGCGGGCACCTCGGCCGGGATTCGAACCCGCCACATGGGGATCCGTAGGCCGACGCTCTCGCCTCGGAGCCACCGAGGTGGCTCTTACAGGCGCCATCATTGGGCGGTAGACGCAAAGCTAGCACCGCCTTTGTCACTACCCAGTGCTCGAACGCATTCGAAAGTGAACGTTGAAAGCCGGAATTCAGCGTTCGGCGTTCAAAGATGTTCGATGAGTCAGCTTTGCGCCTATCCCCTAATTATTCCGTTCAGAGCTCGGCTCATTGGCGTCCCCGCTCTTTGGGGAAAAGGCGCAGATCTTGTTTTCTAGGTGATATCAATTTAATTCACTGAAATTCAACCCGTCGATAGCTCGATGTTATGACCTGGTCCTGCTACGAGGCCTGCTTATGTCATCTGGATTAGCAAGGTGGCGGGGCGTCACGCAGACGTTCGCTGGGCTCGCAGTTAAGTTCGTTGAGCATGTAAATTTACGCTGACAGGTGTGCATCAGAAACTCTATCGTGGAGCGTAATAAAGACAAATTTTGAAAAGGTGTCTTAAATCACAAAATTGTAATAATACCCCTATATATCAGTAGACTGTAGCGTAAGCCCCTCCAACGGAATTCAAGTGAGACGGTTCCTTTGGTACAGTGATTGAGTGTATAGAGGATACGATTGCTGTCGTCCATTGGTCGCTGATAGAAACCCGGTTTACCGAGCAGCGAATTTGTGTTTCCTTGTAAACTCCGTGGCCGTGGTAAAAATACCTAAAACTCTCAGGTGCTGCGGCTGGGCGCGATCATGTGATTTATGATATCACCGAGTGTTTTTGCGAAGAACGACCATGGGAGTCAACGGGGAGGTTTCCACTGTCAGCTGTCGCTGTAACAAATATTGTTTCAGTGTTTATATGGAGAGACACATTTGTTAATCGCACTCACGAAACGAGGGTCTTTTGATGCAGCCACTGCGCCATGAATCAAGAAGAAATTGCTGAAAAGTACAAGAACCAGTTCGTGCCTGAAGACTATCCCGAGGCTATGCAGACGGACATTCCTTCTGTCTACGCCTTTTATCAAAGAGAACTGCACACCATATTCAGCTCCCGTAAGTATACGTTCAACGGCGATGAAGCCATATTGGTTTTTGTAAGTACGAGCAAGGATTATTCCTTAACGTTGTGGGAACCATGGGGTTCCCTCTATCCCTATCTAGGTCTAGCTTCGAGCAGGACGTGGGAGTGATGCCTATAATGACGTCGGCCTCCCGGATACAAGGTACCACGAGGCCGAATTCCTCAAAGGGGCCGGTTCTCCCGTGCCCATTTAGGTGAATGCGCCGTCGGCACACCCTTGAGAGTTATAATGGACGCGACTGCTAGCGGTCTCCCTGGGCGCGTCCATTCTCCAGGGCTACATAAGCTGGCACCGAAGGTGGGCCAGGGGCTCTCGTCGGCGGAGGCCCTGGCCCTTCGGAGCTCGGTTTTTCTTTGTGGGCCTCCGACTTTCCGTGAATCTGTCTAATGCGGCAGCGCTGGAAACCGACCGGGGGATACTGGCAATTGAGCCAGCGCCCAGACTTCACGTCTAAGAGCGAAGTGTGTTGACATTTCAGTCAATAAACACGTCTTTATCCGGACCCAAGGAACCTTCTTTTGTGTTTCTAAGTGGTACCCCACAAAGGGGAATCCCACATCTGGGGCCCTACGTTGGGCGCCTAATGTGGGATTTCCCCTTTGGGGGGGTACCACTTAGAAACACAAAACGTTCCTTGGGTCCGGATAAAGACGTGTTTATTGACTGAAATGCCAACACGCTTCGCTCTTAGACAATGAAAAGTCTGGGCGCTAGCTCAATTGCCAGCATCACCCGGTCGGTTTCCCGCGCTGCCGCATTAGACAGATTCACGGGAAGTCGGAGGCCCACAAAGAAAAACCGAGCTCCGTAGAGGCAGGGCCTCCGCCGACGAGAGCCTCTGGCCCACCTTCGGGGCCAGCTTATGTAGCCTCGGATGATGGACGCGCCCGGGGATGCCACTAGCACTCGCGTCCATTATAACTCTCAAGGGTGTGGGTATAACTCTCGTGGTTCCTTGTGTCCGGGAGGCCGACGCCATTGGTGACGACGACTCCCACGGCCTGTTTGAAGCTAGGCCTAGATAGGGATAGAGGAAACCCCATGGTTCCCACAACGTTCATAACCTATGCAACACGCCTTAGTTGTTTTTTTGTTGTTTTTTTTCGTCACGCAATGGCCATCGCTGAACAAAATTCATGAAAAACAAGCATTATTCACCCCCTCAACTTGCAGCCAGAACAAGCGGCCATGTGGTTTGGAGCCGATTATATGCCGTAATTGTGGGTTCAAAACCATTTGCCCGATGACGATCGAGCGCGGTTCGTGGATTGGAGAACTGCGTGAGCATTCGGCTGGTAACAATCAATGCCTCAGTGGACACTCGGGTAGTGGCTAGCATACAACCACTGCGGTTATGAGAATAGCCAAACTCTAACAATGCCTGGAGCTCAGCGAGCGTTCTCTACTTTGCCAACCCAAGCGCTTGGCTATTATTAACGTTGGCGGCATAGGATAAAAAAACACTAAGTCACGGTTATTCGGTCAATAATGTTAGAGTTATTCTAAGTAGTATCTAGCTAACGTAGAAAAATCGTTTTATGGTATTCGCTTGGAATGTTTTTCTCTTTAAACGAGCTTACGGGCACTAGCAGTACCCAAGTATACACTCGCACGCAACGCCACAAACCATAAAACTTCTTTGTTACGATGTCACTTCAAGGATAAAAGCGAACGTTTTCTTTTCTCCTTCACGAAACTTGATGGCTTAGCTGGGAATCGCAGTCTCCCCCAAAGGCTATATTTGAATGCGGTTCATAATTTGTACCCAAGCATTGCGTGAGCACTCAATTGGGGCTCGTGATAACCGATAGCTCGACAAGCATTCGGGTCGTGGCCCGTTCCCAATCGCTGCAGTGACGACAATAGAGAGTTTTAGTAGATCGTGTTTTCAGGCCACGCTAATCGTAGCGGGAGCTCGCGCTGCCACTTCGATGCATGCTCTGAAGCGCGCGCTCGTAGCGGTAGCGGGCCTTTGAAAACGATCTACTAAAACTCCCTAATAGCCGAACCGTAACAATGTCTGGAACAGCGCGTGTCCCGTGCTTGGCCAACCCCAGCGCGTGGCTATGATTAACTTTGGCGGAATATAATCGGCTCCAGATCACGAGGCCGCTTGTCCTGCTGCTGCGAGTTCAGGGGATGAGCGCTGCTCGTTTTAGGGGCGAAGCTCCTTAGGGTCTAGCCTTGTCCGTCCGGCGTCCGTGCTCACATCGATTGCCATCCCATCTGTCTTTTTAAAAAAAAAATGCTTGCGCAGTCGACAGGATTTGAACCTGTGCGGGGAGACCCCAATGGATTTCTAGTCCATCGCCTTAACCACTCGGCCACGACTGCGGGACGAGTAGGGGGCTCTGAGATGTGGTAGTAACTCAGGAGCGGGGGTGTCATGGATGAAACGTTGTATGTAGCCGCTCAACATCTATACAGGAGAGGGCGCTGCAGTCAAATGCGTATATAATCGCGTTAAACTTTGCATGCATTGACTCAACGTTTATAGACGAGAGGGCGCTGCGGTCAAATGCTCAAATGCGTATATATCCACGTTCCATACCACACATTCTCTTTCTGACATGGATGAAAACGAACGAAAAGCTCGGCATGCTGCGGCTCAGTGGATCAGCACCACCAGAGCTTCGCCCCAATAAACATCATTCACCAAGTCAAGATGCGGTCTTTTTTTTTTCTTTAATTTTTTTCTGCGACATTCATTGCGTGTAATGAAAAATGAACGCGTGTTTTATATGTTATTAAAACCAGGGATTCGTTCTAAGCATTTCAGCAAAATAAAACCAATTGCAGCATGGCCCCTTTGAGATCTAGCTATTCCGTCATCGCAGTGATTGGGTACAAGTCACTACCTGAATGAATGTCAAGGCGTTGATCATTACGAGCCTCATTAGAATTTTCACGAGGAGCTCGTGTTCACTGTATTGGTGCCGCATTGCGTCTAAATACAAAAATACCATTTAAAAAAAAGCGCGCTAAAGTGGTTTGATGTCGTTCCCTATTTCTGTAGGATAGTAGCAGTGGTGTCGCCAGGGGGATTTCAGGGAGGGAGGGAGGGGGGCTTCACGTCCTTTCCCGAAACCGTTTCGACACTACAAATAGCCCCCCTTCCCCCGAATAAAATTCTCCACTGGATTGTAGGATATCGGTAACAGCACGCACATGGCTCACTGTTTTATATAACATGCTTATTTTAGTTGCCGAGTTTAGCTCGTGGAATTTTTAACGTGTAGCGCTGTAGGGTGTACTAGAATAGAGAGGTTGGCCGTCCGGCGGACGAGAGTGTGTCGCAATGGGCGGGCACGCCGGCGAGGACGCTGTGGGGCAGAGCGCCCATCCGACGGCTGGTGGTTCTAGCGGTCGCATGCTTTATTCGGCCTGAAAATGGTCCTATTCTTTGTTTATTTTTGCCTGCTCCGTTGTCAGAAAGAATAACTTCCATCCTATATCACATCCCTGTAAAAAAAGCGGGACTTCCGTGAGCGTCAGAAGTCAAATGCCTTTTATAAGCGGTCAATTACATAATCTCGCTTCTTAATTTTTTTTCCGTTACATACCAGCATTACGAAAGCGAATTTTGAGTATATGATATGCAATGATTTCCTTTTCACTTTAGTGCAAAAGCTTTTTTAAATATATTTTCGGCAGCTATACATTTTCCAGACCTTTAAATACCTAGTTTCTGCTCTGGAGTTAATACACCTTTTTGTGTAGCATGGCTTAATGAAAGCGAACGTTTATTCACTTCTGCGTTCTCAGTCAAAGCTTATAAACCAGAAAATGTCTGAATTTATTTTATCTAGTTAATATTCATCATATGAAAATAAACACAAAGAATGGAAAGATAAATGGAGAAACTTCAACTGCTGTCTTAATTGAAGAGCAATCCCTTTTGGAGAAGTTTGATTTCTGCGGCATGTCACACAGGTCACAAATTCCTCTTAGACTTCTTTTCTTTTCTCTTCATCAGTTTTCTTTTTCTTCATCAGTTTTCTTTTTTCTTCTTCTTGGTATCAGGTGATCCCATTCTGCGAACAGAGGGGCCTTGCTCGGCGTCCGAAACACGGAATGCTTCTTTTTGCGTGTCTTTTAACCCACGTTGCACCCCGACAGAAAACAAGACACCTCCGTGTTTTTCATCGCCGTATTAGACAACGTTCTGCGTGCCTTGTCCCTTTGGCACAGCTGGCAGCCACACAATATTGTATCGCTTCACACACCACGCAAAACAAGAAGAAGTAGCCACAACAACACGCCCAAGCCAGCCTCCCTCAACGCTGCCTGAACGGCCTCCTGGCCCCGCTGTGGCTGGCAGCGCCACTCCAGGCCACTGCGGCACAATTAGGCCACGCGACACCCAGCTCCTCTGGAGATGCAGATACGGTCGGCAAACCTCCCAGTTCTAGCACACCAGCGCCGGTCCTGCATGTGAAAAATTACATGCTTGAACATTTCAATAGCAGACTCAGACCTAAACGACAGTGCTGTCACCCGAAAGCACAGATAAACCCAGCAAGCACACGTTGGCGTCGTCTGCTTTCCACCAACTGCTGGCTGTGCCCATCGGAAGGTGGCGCCACAAGCCCGAGTCTCGCGGGTTACGTAATGACTCCAATGAACATATTTTGGTTTAACCTTTCATGTCATAAACGTATCCTGCTACTCGGCTTCGTTGTCTACGTGGAAACACGACATTGAAAATGTAGAGGATGTTCTAGCTATCCAGAGGAACGAAGTATGCCCTTCGAAATCCACCACAAAAAATATATATTTGACTAATATTTGAGCTGGGGACAATATTTCCCGTGCCTGTTACAACCTGAGCCACAAAGAACTCGTTAAAGACAAAGTTTGGGCCAAAGCTTACGGAGCGCTCCAATTGGACTTTCGAGACGATGACGCCGCGTTTTTTTCCAGCAAGCCTAATCGACGGGCTCCGCGAAATTTCGGCTCTTAATTTCTGTCTGGCGTGTCTAAAGCCTCTGCTCTTTCTGTAATACCGCTCTAAACGTTAAAAAAAGAAAAGAATGGACCTTTTTCATAAAATTTTTTAGCATGCGTGCACTCCCGCTGTCGCCACTTTCGCAGGGCACCAGGAACGATGCCCTGCAAAAACGGCGACAGCAACATTGTCAGCATCTATCTTCGGGCGTATTTAGTCTATTTGACGCTTCGTTTTTTAGTGTCGGTAGTATGGTGTACAAAAAAGCGCTGAAAACCGATACAACTGCACGATGCCAATGTGTTTTGACGGGCGGAGCAATGTTGGGCTGCTCTTCATTTGTACTTCGCAGACAGCTCCCCAAACGGCGCTCCTTACTCGAAAAAGGTCCATTGACTTATAGGCACATTGTAGAGGGCGGGTGGACCGTCCATTATCTACCGCTGCATCATAGGGGTTGCCACCCCGGCAGCACTTAAAGGGGCACTGACACATCAAAATCATATTTGTTTTTATTATCCGAAACGATTGATAACGATGCTGGGACATTACCCTCAAAATTTGAAATTTGGGAATTCAGTATTTGTGAAGTAAAAAAACAATTTCCAAATGCCGAATTCGAAGTTACCGCGCGATCCGCGCCGGTGCGTTGACGTCAAATTTTGCGGAGTCCTGAGAGTCCACTTTCTTTCACGACTCCCTGCTGTTGCCATGGCGACCCAAAGCGAGGAGGAAAGGAGCCAGCGCCGGACCGGTTTTGAGCGGTGTCGCCTGTTTTCTTTGGGAGGATACAGATCCAGGAGACGGCACCACAACGGACTCCCGAGTTTTGGTATTTCAGAAAGAAGGGCCGTAGTGCGTTCGCAATTGCGTTAAAAACATGTTTTAGGATTGCCGTTATTAAATGTTATAGAGATGTCGCCTACAAAGCTTGTAAATTTCATGATTCTGACGTCACGAATCAAAAGAAGCGAGGAGGCGAGAGGCGGGAGAAGAAAACGCCAAAAATAAAAAGGCGCGCGCGGGCGCGGAAAAATATTTTTTCGCGATGCGGTTGTTTTTTTTTTTTTTTTTTGCGTGTCTATTACTACAGCTTGCATCGTTTGAGACAATAAAAAAAAAATAGGACCTTTGGGGTGTCAGTGCCCTTTTAAGTCCTGTGAAAGTAGCGCCATTGCCTTTTCCACCTGCTAGCTGGACGCAAACCGACACCAACATATAGACGACCAAAACACCGCAAGGCAACTGGCTAATCTGTCTACGTTGCCATGGAAATCGCCATCCCGGTCCATTCAAATCTTCGAAGCTTCCAGAGGGTCGTTTTAAACCAGTCGCGCCAAGATCAACATGGAGCATCATCGTCCTGGAAGCGTTCCTCGCTAGTATAAGCGCCTTTGGCACTGTGTATGCAATCAACTTATCAATCATGCCCATCTCAGTGGATCTCTTACAATTATATTGTTCTTCTTGCGTATTTAAAAACAGCAAACTTACTATAGTGCCTCCGAGCACCGACACAGCATGTAGTGGTTGTAGTAAGATGTACGCTTGTTTCGCCACTCTGTGGATAGCAAAATCTAGGTATACAAGAAACATTTCCATAAAGATACCCGTCACCAGAGAATTGAGATTGGCTCACCAAGAACGGAGGGGTCAAGGCGAAATAGCTCTTTCATGGACCAAAATGGTGACCATTCCGGGAGCTTGGCGCTACTTTGCTAGGATCCAGTGATCCAGCACCAGCAGTGAGCAACAGGTGCAGAGGTTGGTTAGAGCAAGGGCGCACGGAGAGAGTAAGAGAGAGAGAGAGAGCGAGAGCTCTTTGATGTGGTATTCCCTACGTGCTGCTAACCTGCAACTTTTCTTTTTCTTTTTTGTGTCGCGCTTCGTTAAAGCATCGTTCTATGGACGTAAGCTTCTGGACGTCGGTTGTGGCCCCACAGTTCACACCGTTTTCCCGGCTACAAAAACGATGGACGACATTGTGCTCAGCGATTTCTTGCCTCAGAACAGACTGGCAGTGGAGAAAAGGCTCCAGAAGGCTCCAGCGTTAGACTGGTCTTTTCAAAGCGAATCCTTGGCAGCCCTCGAAGGATTCACGTAAGAATGCTTTCCCTTTACGTCTGACTGTGTTCCTTTGTAAAACGCCATAAAACAAACCGATATCAGGTTGTCAAATGACACACTGTTGAGATCTGAGTTTTTACAAAGAAATCTCTCTAAGTTATGAAATCTGCACAATCATTTATATCTGGCATAAAAGGTTTAAAGGCTAACGTATGAAAGTATGATGGGCATCGAGACTACGGAGTGGAGGTGAGGAAGAGACAGGCCGTCATGTGCACGTGTGGCAGGTCCTACATTGAGCGATCTAATTGCTGAATTGATTCCCAAAACGATATAGGGAAGTGCCAGGTTCACAGGTAGTATTCGAGTCTTGGGAACGCGTCAGAACAGCTCATGACAAAACAACAGGCAACAAAACAGCACAGTGTCAAAACAGCACGCGTCCAAGCAGCACAGCGTCGAAACAGCATGGCGGCAAAACAGCACAGCATCAAATCGGCACAGTGACAGAAGAGCACGTGACAAAACAACACGGTGTCAAAACAGCACAGCGACAAAACAGCACGCATGTAGCAACTTGGAGCGCGCTATTCACCTTCGCGCGAATAATTTCGAACCTCGTTGACCCTTTCATTTATTGTCGCTAGGTTATAACGGAATTTTTTTGCCTTATTTCAGTGCTTACCAAACTCCGCAACTCGAGACCTCCCCAAATAACTCACAGATTATTGCCGACGAAGGCCTCCTTCAAGGGGAAACCGGTAAAGCAGAAACATGCCACAGCCTCAATGTTGTTGCCGTATACCGGATGGGCTGAGCACACCGTTGTCGCACACGCTTTTTTTTTTAACAACTAACGACCGCACATTGCAATGCAATTGATTCATTTATTGTAGATGAAATCAAAAGCAAACTGGCCTGTCAAAATGAGCAGAACTGTTCGAGAAATAGTCAGAATACGCACGGTACTGCCCAGGGAGCCTTCATGTGCGCATCGAGTATACTCTCTACTCCGAACTTGCTCCAAAGAGAACGGATTCGACAAATTGATCATCGACGAGTTGGTTTTCGACAAATTGGCCTAGACCCTCCATTCATTTACAGTGCCTACTTTGAGACACGCTTTTTTTTAACTACATACGCTTTATTTAGGGTTCAGCGTTTTCGGCTTAAACCGAATAAAAGCGGTAAAAGTACACCGAATTCATTTTTCCAGATTTGGTTTTAACTGAAGAAGGTCTAACCGTCTGACCCCTTCCTTCCGCAGTTTTCAGCTTGTCTGCGAGATCGGTTCAACTTTCAACAAAAACTCTGGGGGCGCAGGGGACTTCAGGACGAAATCTGGGTTTTTCACCTGATTGGGATTTGTGGGCCGAATTTTTTCTTCAAAGAAGAAAGTTTACGCATGAACTGAAGAATGAAAATCAAGGGCGCCTGTAAATGCAGCATATTTTTTAACAACCCTAGCTTCCGTCTACTTGGAGGAGGGCATAAATACGATTGTTTTATTGTTGTTCCTGTAGTCCGCGCGAATTTACCACCTCTCGCAGTCGTGAAAATTGGGAAAAAAACACACTGAGTACAATGCTAGCCAATTTCTGGATTTTGATATTTGCCTCTCCGACCGAAGTGGCAGTGAAGCTCATGTCCGTCCTGTGTACAGACACGAACACACGACGATAATGTTAGATTACGATTGGGCCCCAGTGCGTCTTGCAGAACAGGTCGTGTCGGCTGCCACAGACAGCAACAAATAAGAAAACCAGTACCTGGTTTATTCACTACACATTTTGAAAAAACGCTTTTAAATATTGCATTTTCGTCTGTATACTGGTTTTTGTCAATAAACCGAAAAGAAGTGAGAAGTTTATGAGTCTACAAATATTCACCGCAATAAACCGGAAACTTCTGTTTGAAATAAAAAAAACCAAAAATTACACCGAATTTCAAAATAATAATTAGACCGAAAACGCCAAACACTAGCTGTATTGTCAATGTCCTGCTTTGACGCTGTGCTGTTTTGTCGCTGTGCTGTTTTGACGCTGTGCTGTTTTGACGCTGTGCTGTTTTGACGCTGGGCTGTTTTGGCGCCGTGCTGTTTTGGCACGTGCTCTTGTGTCGCTGTGCCGTTTTGACGCTGTGCTGTTTTGTCGCATGCTATTTTGACGCGCGCTGTGTTGTCGCAGTTCTGTTTTGTCGTGTGCTGTTCTGTAATGGTGCCCCAAGTCTTTTGGCAGGTATTATAACCGTAACCATTTTTACAAAAGGGGCAGGTTTGAAACAGTCTTCATCTCACCTTTATTAAGGCTCCCTTGTATCAAAACTCTAGATTCATGTGCGTCACATGCAGTAAACCACTTAATAAATTTTTATCAGTAATGTTATGCTCGAAAGGATTTCAGACTCTCTTCCTGTGACGGATACTACGATAAATGTATGTAGACGCTATTCCGCCCGGCTCTAGGAATAGGAAAACGAACTAAGCTGACAAGGCGGTGGAGGCAACGTCCTAAACGCCGGTTCTCACCACTAAAATATAGCGCAAGGACGACGGAAGGAAGAACGAGAAGACAGGAAAGAGCGCCTCTCTTCTCGTTCTTCCTTCCGTCGTCCTTGCACTACTTTTTAGTTATGTTTACCCAACTAGCCCACCAGTAATGCCGGTTCTCACATGCTGCGAAGCGTTGAAATTGCGCTGATCATGTGTCGTCAGCTACTCATCGTCTGCCATGAGCAACAGTTTTGACGGTGCGATACAAAAGCTGGAAAACGCTCCCGTCAGCACGCGCTTAGCGCGAGGTCAACACTATGCTTGTAGCACTCCGCTGCATGTGTGAATAGACCTTTAGTCGCTCCTTGTAAACTGGTCACGCTCTATGGGGGCCTCACGTGTAGAGGCGAGCCCGGGAAGGCAGGTGGTTGAATGGTCAGAGCCAGCCAACGGAGCCCTGAACTAAGGGCTCCGTCCGGGACTCGTTGGTTTCCTAACCTTTTGTAAATAAAGTTATACCACCACCACCCCCACCCCCTGTCCTCTTAGCTCTAAATAGAACATAGTTGCCGGTTCCTCCCATCGAATCTATTTATTCTGACTATTTTCCGGAAGTCTCTTTCCGTTTTGGTTCTGACCAAAGCCTGCGTGAGCATGTATTATCGCTACACTTCACATATCGTGTAATACGCAATAACTCCACTTTCCATTCCAAGTCGAGAAAAAAAAGTATGCGAGAAGACCCTGAGGTTATCCTGATATAGATACATAAATGGAGTACTTTGTTATGTTTATTATTATTTACACCTTCCAGAGACGTTAAGAGCGGAGCGAGGGAGATCGAAGAAAGGACACGAAGGGCCATCAGAAAGGTTATTTTCTGCAATGTCCTGGATCCTCAGGTGCTACCGGAAGAACACAAGGAATCATTCGACGTGGTTCTGACCAGCCTATGTTTGGAGACCGCCAGCTCGAATGAAGAAACATATCAGAAAGCGATTCAAAATCTTAGCAGTCTAGTCATCGACGGAGGTCATCTGATCGTATGTGGTATTTGTGGAGCCAACAAGTATTCGGTTAAAGAAGCCAGCTTTCCCGTCATTTCCGTAACCGTGTACTTGGCAAAAGAGTCAATCGCTCGTTCTGGATTCAAGATAGAGCGTTGCAGCTTGCTTCAGCGAGACGCGTCACATGCCAAGGACACGTACTATTGGAAGCACGCGTTTGTAATTTTAGCTCGTAAGCCTTAACGGGTTTCATAGTGTTTTTTTTTTTTAATCTGTAGTTTGTGTTCTAATCTTGTCCTTCATATATTTCTGATTATCAGATGTGCACATGTCGAGGGATTAGAGGCGTGCAAGTTGTGGTTTAATTCGAATGGCGTTGTATCACTCAAAGCCTTCATTGTACGTTGGAGAGCCACGACAACAGGTTCTCTTCAAACCGTTAAAGCTATACGAATGGCACTGGATAATTAAATTCAAACCCTTGTTTGCACACCCGAGGTAATGTGTCAGTGTCTAGATGCCCAATTGAATCATCATAATACTGCAGAGAAAAATGTTATCTGGTTCAAAGATTGTGCTGTGTGACTCCTAATATAAGCAGCACTTTATAAATTCATCAGTGTTCATCCAAATAGAAAAAAAAAACATCACGCTGATGCGGAATTTGTTTTTTTCTATTTACTATAACGTAAAATCTTCAATATCCCGGTCTCATATTTGAACGTACAACACGTTTTTGGGGAGGGTGGATAGGGTAACTCGGTGAAAACATAAAACGCATAAGCGGGATGCGAAAGCCTTTCGACCGAGAGAAAAATGGTAGTGTCGACGCCGCAGTAGGGCTCCCCCGCGGGTGATGCCTGAACCCTATTCAAATCAAATCAAGTTTTTTATTTGGTGTCACATCTTCTTACACGACAACAGGGGACTTAGGACAAAAAGCTGCTGGGTAGCAGCCTGACGAAGGTCCCAGCCCCCGTGCAATTCGGAACAGCAAAAGGTAAATAAAAACAAAAAAGAAAAACACAGAAAAGACAACTAAATATTACATAAATGTAGACACATTTTATACAAATGTTTGGTGTGATGAGCACTTTAGGCCAAAAAAAAAAAAAAGAAGGAAAAAACAATACCCGACAACAAACCACGAGAGCGGTCAGCAAATATACAAAGAAAGCACACAGGATGAAAACAAGGCCGGTTTTAAAAAGTCATAGAGACAAAATCGAATTTACTAACCCTTTATGTGAAAGTGCCTCTAAATTTATTTTTATACAGAGTGTTTAGTGTGGTGGACAAACTAGAATGAAGTCTCTGATCAAGGCAATTTGTGCGGGATTGACGGATTACCGAGGGCTGATTTTGCCTAAATGTCGCGCAGGATGATGCGATATTTTAGGTTAGCTAAGTGAATGTAATGAACGTTGTTTTGCTGAACAACCCTACGATACGTTGTTAAAAGTTTGAGCGCATATATTTGCTGCATTGTTTTTACCTTTAGGGCCTTAAATAATGATGCAGTGGGATGGAGAGAGGGAACAGAAGATATCTCACGTACAGCCCTTTTTTTGTAAAAGGTGCAACTTCGTTAGGTTTGTTTTGGTTGTGGTGCACCAAATAAGGTTGCAGTAAATTAGATTGGAAGGAACTAACGATTTATAAATAGTTAATTTAATACGAGTTGGAGGTATTGTTTTAAATTTTGTTATTGGGCCGACGCTCTTGGATAGCTTTGATTGGACATTATCTATATGAGTATTCCAGCTCATGTCTTGTGCAAACAACGCACCCAGTATTTTAATACAGTTTACAAATTCGATTTGTTAATTTTTGATTTTAAAACAAAGTGGATCGTTTATTCTTTTATTCCTAGGTTTAAACAGAATAGCCTTGGCCTTACTACAACAACAAATTGTTGTGTGTATGTTTATACAGCCGGAAGTTAGTCTGCCTCAGTGGGTGTCTGGTGTCTCAGCTGTAGATGAGCAATTTAGCCAGTGCGGTACGACCGCTAGCCTGGAGTCTTAAACGTGCACCACGCAGTAGTGATACACGACCGCACGCCGGTACGATGCTCATCCAGATCGAAACGGGCAGGGGTGGGGATTGAGCCCAGGATCCCTGGGTTCTGCAGCACGAGCTTTCGCTCCACGTGCTCCAAGCTGGTGCGCGCGGATCCTGGGTTCTGCAGCGCGAGCTTTCGCTCCACGTGCTCCGAGCTGGTGCGCGCTAGCCCACTCGGCAACCGATCCCCCTCTTCTTACTACAATTTACCTTTAATTTTTTGTTCAGTGTCCAGGCAGTAATGTTTCTTTAACTTCTTGCATTGCGGAAATGGAAGTGCGGATATGGTCATGGGAAAAAAAAATGCTGGTATCGTCCTTGTAAATTATCAGTTTTACATCAGTGTTTTGAGCCACGTTTGCGATGTCGGTGATGTATAAGATGAATAACAATGGGCCTAAAATGCTGCCCTGGGGAACTCCCGATGTAATGGCTAGCCTATCTGAATGAAAATTTGGAAAAGACACGTACTGATTTTTATTTAATAAGTAGGATTTTAAAATATCATGCGCTATGCCTCTTATTCCATATAATGGTAATTCTGCAAGTAAAATGTAATGATTAACTGAATCCAATGCTTTTGAGTAATCGAGGAAAACGCCGGATGTTATCTTTTTTGCGTCGAATGCTTTTACGATGAGTTCTTTCTTGATTTAGCAATGCTATTTCAGTGGATCGATGATTACAAAATCCAAATTGCGATTCCGAAATTAAAGCACGTTTATCAAGATGTGTTAGGTGTCTTTGATGTAGAAGTTTCCCAAGTGGTTTGGAAAAGACAGGAAGAATTGAAATGGGCCTATATTGCAAATGTCAAACACATCATTACCTTTATGTAGGGCACTAACTTTTGATACCTGCATTTTAAGTATATATATGTCAGATATGGTGCAATTTTATCAATAACATATTAATAGGTTTTATCTGCATGTTATCGGCGTCAATACTTTTACTATTTTTAAGATTCATGATAGTTGAGCAGATCTCTGCCTCATCAGGGGGGAACAAAAACATTGTGCTCGTCTGCGACGATATTATGAACTCTAGGGCTTTTTTATACAGGAGGGTGACACACACGTTGACGTACCAACATTTACAAAGAAATCATTAAACGCGTTTGCCATGGTGACGTCTGTAATTTGAGCGCCGCTTGCTGTTACTTCATAAGGTACGTTTTGGGGTGGCTTATGGTTTATTAAAGATTGGATTCTCTTCCACATAATATCAGGTTTCAATGTTTCTAATGGATCAAAAAGTGTGGTGTAATAGTCACGCCTAGCAGCCCTTAGCTGAGTTGTTAGTTTATTTCGATAAGATTTAAAGACTACAAGTCTACTATTTTTTTTTTAGTTTTTAAAACATTATCATATAAAAAATTCTTTTTTCGTGTAATTGATAGTAGGCTAGGTGTGATTTAAGGTCTACGCGAATTTTTATGGGCTTTGAGGTTGACAAAAGGAAAATGTTTTGTATTTATTGAATAAAATATATCTAAAAATCAATTATATGCGGAATTAACTGAATTTCTAGAAAACAATTTTTGCCAAGATGTACGTTCAATGTTTTCTTGAAAACGGCGCAACTGGTCAGAGGAGATCGGCTGAACTCTAGCCACAGGAACCCAGTCGCTACGCTTTGACATTTGCTGGCATAAGTGATCAGGTGACGACACCAACATACAATGGCGTTCCTGTCGGAAGTCGCGGTGTCAGTCTTGGTTCATAAATGATTGGGCCGAAAGTTACCATCCAAAAAACGCATTCTACTTTAGAAACTTTTTCTCAATCATTTGTACTTAATAAGGGTTACTGCGCACGCCAGCTGGTAAACGATCATAGTAAAAAAAATCATTGTGACTATAGGGAGAAAAAATGTGACAACGCGACGCCGTATCAACAAGACGGTGTTGTGTTGCCCCATTTTTTGTCCTTGGTCTCGAATTTTTTTCTTTTTTTTCGCTGTAATGTTGTATTTACTTTCCAGCTTGCATGTTTGCAATCGAACAACTCAGTCTGTTGCCGACAGGCGACGTAGATGAGGTTGATTTAACTACGTTCAAAGCACACTAACTGATCCCAGTGCTTTGCTCCAAAGCAAAGCACTGGCTAACTGATCCCCCCTCCCCTGCCCCCTTCCTAACTATTTTTATCGTCTTCTTTCAGTCGCCGATAGTGCAAAGAGAAGCTGTCTTACTCCCCATGACATTATTTTTTCAGATCCTAGTTAAGGCACTTTGTAACTGAGTTGTTTTTAATAAGACGTCACACTTGGTTCAAATAAATACAACTTGTGTGATGTGTCCGTCCTTAAAGGGGTAGTGCAACGATTTTAATGTTTAAAGAATTCGCAGTTCGTATTTTTATATTATTTATCTAAACACAACTGACATAAAAAAAATAATAAAAAACCCGCCACCTGGTACCCGAAAATTTCTATTTCACTGCGTAATAGCAAAATCAAAAGTTAATTGTCGATCTGCAGCCGCGTGTGTCGGTTACGGGACGAAACAACTTCTGGGGGATACGTGGAAGTCAACAAAATTTATTCCCCTCTGCTGCTACACTTGCCGTCAGCCCCGTGGCGAATTGACTTTTGTGTCAATCACTCGCCTCGACGTTCGGCGATGCTAATGTTTGAAAAGTCGACAATCACAGAGGAAGCGGCTGGGGCATTTGAAGAGAGAACCCAACGGGAAAGCAGGTGATCCCTCAGAGTATGACTCTCGAAAGAAGACGTGAGAGTTGAGAGGCACTTGGACCTTCGATTGGTTTCTTTTTTTTAGTAAAAACAGGCGCGTGCTAAAAAAAACACTGTTTTCTCTTCTTTGCTCCATAAGGGACGGAGAACAACTCCCGCAGTTAATTGGCCAAAGTACGAAATTCGTTCCACCGCCCCTTTAATATCTATTACTGGTCGAAAAAGATGGGCCCTGCCCAACGATGGTAGCACGGAGTCTTCCACACATTACTCCAAAAAAGTAATCCATTACAGTAAAAAAAAACTATTGGTTAAAAACTATTCTACGCATTAGACTACTTGATTACCCGAAAAAAAAAGTCATTGATCGTAACTTTAAGAAGTAACCGTTACTTTTCCGATTACTTGAGATATTCATAACGACAGATTTTCCTGTCGGTTTAAAAACGTGTCCTTTGTACTGTCAATTATTGGATTAAAATCACCGAACTATGAACTACTCATCTTTTAAATGCGCTACTTTCGCTGAACCATCCTTTGCCGAAAACTTGGTTCGAGGATCTCTTCGTAGGAAACATTTACAAACAAATGGCGCCATTAGCAAGGGGACAAAAAATTGTATCGGTCAAAAGTAGTTTTAGTACTTCCAACAGTAGTAATATTACTCCTGCGATTAGTTTCTACTAAGTGTATTCAAATGAATACAAATTTACTCCAAAAATGATTGATTACTTGCACAACACAAGCGTTATCTGTTTTTTTTTGTTTTTTTTTTTTTGTCAACGCACGGTTTTGAAGTCGCTAACCGCAAATCACTAGTGCAAAACAGTTCCTTGGTTAACCTTCCGAATAATCAGTTAAAGCTTTAATCGTGCTC